ATTACCTGCAAATGCCTAGATTCAAACCCTTGCTAGAGGAATACAAAAGCAGCCCACTTCTCCAGCTCCTCTCTATTCTTGCATTTATTTTAACTCGGAGGCAAAATTGATTTCTTGTCCGATTTTGCACGCATGCTGTGACTGGCAGTGGCACGCTCCAGGGTTTGAAACCTTTTATGCTGAGTTTCAGCCTGTTGCTGATTCCTGTGGGTGAGATATAAATACATCGCTAAATAAAAGAGGAAAAAAAAGTGTATAACAGAAATGCCAGAAGGCCCCATAAGCTAATGGATACTCCTATAATAAACCTGGGTTTGAGTTTGTTTAGTCTTTAATGCAGTCATAAAGCTAAAATACAGAACAAAATGAAGATGAAAGTCATGTGGGTTTAAGAGAATCCAGATTATAAAATGCTTTTTTCCTCTCGAGTTTGCTGCACTCTCACTTATTTCTAAACCTGTTGTTAGCTCCCACTTTCTCTCTGGTGTTTTTTCCCTGTGCTGATGAGTACAGCTTGTGGCTGGTTTCCCTTAGCCATTGATCAGGGGTTTGAGAGTAGTCGCTGACACAAGGAAGCGGAATGGTTGAGGAGGGTGTGAAAGTGACTCCAGGGCTTAGGACCAGAGAAGGGTGAGGTGGGAAGAAAGTGCTGGAGGTCTCTGTCCGTGCCTCACTCCAAACAGGGCCACCTTCGCAGCCATGTCACATTGCGTGGGGCCTCATCCAGGTAAGTGTTAACCATTTCCAGAGATGGAGGCGGCACATTTTCTGCCACAGGCTTTGCTTTTCCCTCTGCAGAATGTCCCCTGGGTTGCAGGGAAGAATCTCAATGACATCTGTGATGTAAAAGCTATGTCACTTCTGTCAGCAATGAAACAAAATCTCCAGAAGTTACTCATGGGAGGACTACCTTCCTCCTTTCCTGCAAATACTGGCCATTGCCTGGCAAAGGAAGCATGCCCAGAAATGTAACCCAGACATCTGGTTGCTAAGGTTGGGGCGTTGCAGGACAAGAAAGATCCTCAAGCCAGGAGATAGTTTAAAGTACTAAAGGGACCAACGTGCACCCTGCTTCTACTGGTGTCTTCCTTAGCATCTGCAAATCTCAGCTTAGGAACCCACCTCTGAAATTCTGGTCTCTGCCCTGTCTCTGTCACTGACTGATGAGACTTTTCTTTTGGTCTCTCCTCACAGATTTGTAAAACCCAGGAATCCAAGGTGGCTGCCTCGTACTGCAGCCCTGCAGTGCCAGTCCACTTCAACATCCAGCAGGACTGTGGGCATTTTGTGGCTTCTGTCCCCTCCAGCATGCTGCTGGCCTCAGATGTGGGGAAGAGCATGCCTGGGGATGGCCTCCATCCCTCCCGCACTGCCAGCGAGCACGACTGTGTGGTGGTCATTACCCGAGAGGTGCCGAGCCAGACCACTGCTGACTTCGTGAGGGACTCGGTGATGTTGCACCAAGCCAAGCCCGAGCTGTACGAACGTCGCGTTTGCTTCTTGCTCCTCCAGCTCTGCAATGGCCTGGAGCATCTCAAAGAGCATGGCATCATCCATCGTGACCTGTGCCTGGAGAACCTCCTGCTTGTCCCCTGCAAGCCCCCCATGAGCTGTGTGAAAGCCAAAGATGACAAACACTTACCCCGCCTCATCATCAGCAATTTTTTGAAAGCCAAACAGAAGCCAGGAACTGGAGACTCCAAACTGAAGAAGAGTCAGGCCCGGCTGGCCCCGGAGATTGTGTCAGCTTCTCAGTACAAGAAGTTTGATGAGTTTCAGACTGGTATTCTCATCTACGAGCTGCTGCACCAGCCCAACCCCTTTGAGGAGAAGGTGCGCCTCAGGGAGCAGGAATACAGCCCCGAGGACCTCCCTGCTCTGCCCAGCCTGTCCATCTACTCCCGGGGGCTCCAGCAGCTGGCCCACCTGCTACTGGAAGCTGATCCCATCAAGCGTGTGCGGATCACCGAGGCCAAGCGGATGCTGCAGTGTCTGCTTTGGGGGCCCCGGAAAGACCTCACCGAGCAGCCCCTCAGCCACGAGGAAGCCCTCCACCGGGTGCTTCAGAACTGGGTGGACATGAAGCGTGCCCTGCTCATGATGAAGTTTGCAGAGAGGGCTGTGGACACGGAGCGGAGCATTGAACTGGAGGACTGGCTGTGCTGCCAGTACTTGGCATCTGCTGAGCCAGCCTCCCTCTCGCACACATTAAAACTCCTGCAGCTGCTCTGACCTTGGATGTGTCTCGGAGGCAGCTGAGGGCTCCTGGTTGCCTTGTGGCTAAAGGTACACAGCCCCTTTATATGTGAGAGGCTTGAATCTCAGCTGCGAATGCACGTTCAGCTCCTACCCCGCACTCTGATCAGAGTGCACAAGACATGTTTAGTACCCTCAGCACTGTTAATTTGTGAGCAGGCAAAACTGGAAACCTACCCCTATTTGGGGGGATTTTTTTTTTTTTTTTGGTATGGTAAGTCTGTGGACTAATAAACTCCTGCCTGCGTGTGTGCATGTTTCTAATGAACTCAATGTACTTGAGCTGATTTCTGCGCCTGTGGGACAGTCTTTTGATTCCCACCGCCCCTAAAGCATCAGAGCCTTTTTGCGCGGGAACACCACTGCTCTCCAGAGTGGGTGGCAGTGAGGAACGGTTGGCTGCTTCTCCTGGGGAGCAAGAGCAATTCACGTAATGCCCTTTTGCAAGGGAGAACCAGGAGGGGCTTTCAAATTCACATCTTTCATGGGTTTTGGCATCCATTTTGCTTCTCACTTTAAAAACAAAAACTACTGCTTGTTTCTGCGTATCAGCTGTATTTTCCACTGTGGGCAAATCAATAGCAGCTGCCTATTACCTTTGTTAGATACTAATACAGCATGGCTTTCCTGTCTAGTGGTGCAGCCATGCAGGCTGTTGATTGTGAAAGGGTGAGAGAGCACCCAGGGTGGGTCTGTTCATGAGGATGATGCTGCATGCTGGGAATTACCCCTTGTAAAGTTAATGAAATGGAAAATCCCCAATTCACCTCCAAGGCCTTGGGGGGGAAGTCAGGGCCAGGTTGCTTTGCTTTCCACATCCCTCCAGCTCCCTCCCTTCACCTGGTAATTCACCTGTCCCTTGTGTCTAGCATTTATTTAACCCCTTTATTGAGAGATGAGCTGGCATGTGAAAGGCCAGGGCCACTGGCCTGTGGTCTGGGAGGGTCTTATTGCTGCTGGTGTTTGAATTAGAAATGCATAGGGCAAGGTGCATGGCGAACACGCTCCTCCAACAGATGCGATGCAAGAGCAGCACAATGGAAGAGGGAGAAGCTGGCCTGGCTCCCTCCAGCCCCTTTCCTTCCATCCAGACTTATAGCAGCCACTCAGAGGCTGTGCTGCTGCTCAGAAAAACTCATTTCCCAAAAGGTGGTGGGTTGCTTTTACTCTTCCACCCCAACACGAGGCCGAGATGAGCTGCCCTGCTCCTGGCACCAGTTCTGCAGCCCTTGGAGAAGGGGTAGGTTTGGGACACATGGAGAGAGCCCAGCATCAGCTTAGCTGAGACAGGATGTCACTAGCTGAGCTACCCGCCTCCCAGCTCAAAAAGGGGAAAAATTCATGAACGCTTTTCTCCAGCCTTGATTCACCTCCAGATCCAGCCTGCTCTCTTGGGGGAATTTTAATTCCCCAGGTTTTTTGACACTTCATACACTTTCTGTGAATCTTTTCCAGGCTTCTCACCTGGATTTTTTTTTTTTTTTAATCTGTTTGGCTATGGTTGCTGCTGATGGGAGGGGATGGTTCCTTGGCTGGGCACCCATTTGCAATGAATTTCCCCTGATCCCCTTAGGGAAGAGGCCGTGCACGTCCCTGCCTGCTGAAAGAATGTGGGATGGCTCCAACTGCGGCCGTTGGGGATTTTTTTTATACACTGGCTTTCTTGCGTCTGACTCTTGGGTCCACTTCCCTCCAACATAGGTGGCAGGAGCCTTCTGGCTTGGGAACCACTGTCCTGTGGACCATCCTGGACACATCGCCCTGGAAAGTCTGGCCCTGGCTTGCTGCATATGGCGTCACATGGGCCAGCAGAGTGATGAAACAGCTGGAGAACCTGCCTGAAAGAGCCCAGCATTTTTTTCAGAGATAAGATTAAGAGATGACTCAGTTTCTAAGCATGGATATAGGGAATAAGTTGGAGGCAGCTCTGCAGGGCAGCGCTGAAGGAGACAGGGCCTGACCATGACAAATCCAAACTGTGCTGGCAACAGGGAGATTATATGTGGGGCAAGTGGCTTGTAAGGCTTGGGTTGAGTACTCAGCGGGACTCAAGAAGTAGCCAAATATCCAACCAACACACGTAAAACAAAGCTGGCTCTGTTTTGCATGCTGAGTTTCAGTTTAGTGACAAACACGGATACAGGTATTGGCACAAGGCCTGCATGGTGTGGGATGTTAACCTGATCAAAATGCTTTCCCTTGAATTTGGGCACTTGAGACTGGTTCTAGTGTTGGTCCTGGTACCCTGCAGCAGCATGCCCAGCAGACCAGATGCCAACAATAGTCTCGTAGCATTTTCAGCTATATTATTTTGAGATTTGGTGGATGGCTTCTTGCTCTCATATAAACAGAAACTCTTAGCTCCATGCTTTCCTGATACCTTTCCCTATGGTAGCTCATGCTTCTTCTCCAGCTTAAACAGTCCTAGGCTTTTGGGTCCTAGGCCAATGTGTGAACTGGAGAAGTGCATTAGGGTTTCTCCTGTGTATCTTTGTGGGGAAAGTGACACCTAAGCCTCGGTTGAATGCCACAGCTGAGTCCAAGGACTTTGCTGGCTTACTCTCCCTTGCCCGTGCTGTCCTCAGGACACGATGGGCTGTAGCCCATCTCCAGGAGTAAAAGCCAACCTGGTTCTCTGGAGATGCTGTTATATGAGATTGCTTGGCCAATAGCACTTCTCACCCTGCATGCTCACGTGTGCAGGGACGTGCCCCACTGGCTGCACAAGTTAGCCCAGGACAGGCTCAGTTCTGCTTCAGCTTCTTGGCAAGCAGCAGCAGCAGCAGCAGCGCGAAGCCACGGGAGAGGGGAAGGATGCTGTTGCAGGAAGTCCAGAGCAGGTAGGGCAGGGAGAAGCTCTCCGTCTCCACAGCCACCAGGATGTAGGCAACAATGAGCTGCATGAAGACCCAGGTTGTGCCACGGTAGAGGAGCTTCACACCCTGGGAGGTGGCCCAGGCGCTGAGGAAGGGATGGATGCGGTAGTCGGCCTCTACCATGACAGCCCAGCACAGGAAACCAAAGACCTGCCCAGGCCAGAGGCCGTGCCACCAGGCAGAGAAGGCAAAGGTAGCTAGGAGTGGCTGGGCCAGGCAGCGCTGGAAAACAAGTCTCCTCAACCAGCGGGATGTGCTCTTGTTCCAGGTTCGGGTGAAGATGGCCAGGCGGTGGGTGGTCTCCAGTGTCCACAGGTCGCGGACGGAAAGGTCTCCCTGACCCGCCTCTAGCCTGAAGCCTGCCACCTCGAGAAGGGCCTCATCCAGCACCCAGTGCCAATAGTAGGCCAGCCTGAGGAGCAGGGCCCGCGCCCAGAGGCAGGGCAGGCAGCCCAGGCCGGTACAGCCCTGCCTGCCGGCCAGCCCTCCCACCAGCCCCACGCGCAGCCCCTGCAGGGCCAGCGCACAGAGGCACCGCTGGCCGGCAGCCCTCAGCGGGCAGGGGAGAGCCCCTGAGGACTCGGCCTGGGCCCGAAACCTGCTGAAGGAGCACAGGGGACCTCCGAGGAGGACTGGGAAAAAGAGCAGGTAGCTGCAGAGGGGCAGCGCGCACTGCAAAAGCCCCTGGCCCAGCTGGAGCCTCACGACCCCTTCGTGGATGTCCAGCACCAGAGACGTAGCCTTCTGCGTGAGCAGCATGATGGCAGAGAGGGCGATGGCTGGCCTGGAAGGAGAGGGCACCTGAGCACTGCTGAGGGTCCCTCGAAGGGAGTGTTAGAGGCACTGGCACAAGACTGCACATGGGGGATGTGCTGTCCCACATCCCCAGAGCGCTGCCATGCCCGCAGCATCGCCCACACATGGGGATGCAGCTGGAGCCAGAGTGGAGACTGATGGCTGTGGAACAGCAAGCCAGTTTGGCCCGGGGGGCCCTCCACCCTCGCAAAATGACCAGGAGCCCACTGAGGGGAGGAGCAGGAAGGAGGCAGAGCCGTGGTGTTACCTGGCATCCTGTGGGTCCAGCTCCTGGCTGCTCAGACCCAGGTGGCAGAGTGTCTGCCAGGACATCTGGAGGGCGAAGACCCGGGTGTGGGCACAAGCTGGGCTGACAGAGAGGAGGACAAGCACGGAGCCAGCAGCAGGGATGAGGAGCAACACGGCGTAGCTGCCCATGGCTGTGCCAGCAAAGAGACATCCTCCGGTGAGGAGGAACATGTACCTAGAAGAGACCAGATGCCCTTTGGCTGCCTTTTGGGGAAAATGAGGCTTGAAACTCCCCCACAGTGCTGATAGGGGAGCTTAGTCTGGGTCCTGCAGCCTCCACAGTCCCCCTGTAGTCTGCCTCTTGGCCTCTCATGGGGCTGAGGGAACACCAGGGCCATCACGGCTGCAAGCAAGAAGCAGGGGGGACACTGGAGCAGATATTGCTGGCCCTGCCTGGCCCCCATCCTAATCACACCAGAGATAGTCCCCATTCCCACGGCAGGACCTCCCCTTGCCCATGTGCTCATCCTGGTACACCCTCTAAACCCACTTCTCACAACACCAGAGTGTCCGGCCTGGCTGTTTTGTCCTTAGTGACCTTGATCTGGCCCCACTACAGAGAGAGGGGACTGGCAACAGCTCACATCCAAGCCATACAAATGTCCCTACCCGAGTCAGCGAAGACTTGCTACCATGCGTCCCATTGCACCTCTGGCCAGGAGAGCCCCCAAAAAGCATCCACAGGCATGACCGCCCCTCAGCACAGCAGCAGGGGTGATGAACACGTACCGGGCAGCCAGAGAGAGGCGCCCTGAAGCACAGAGGTGGTGGAAGAGAGCAGCAAAGGGGAAAGCTGCCAGCCGGTACGGGGCTGCAGGGAGAAGGACAAGCAGGTCTGCCCAGCACATCGAGCCCCTTGCTTCTTCAACTGCCTCTGATGCCTGGAGAAAGGACTGAGCCAAGAGCTGTTCTGGTTCCTCTTTATACATGGCAGGACCTCAAAAAAACAGAGCAGAGCCAAGGAAACAGAGGTATCTGCAGGAAGAGGAGCATGTTTTTTGCATTCGTCAGTGCTGGCTTCTTAAAGTACCTCTGTCCCAAGGTTTGTGTGTAGGTGGAAAAAGCTGGGGTTGGTTATTTGCTCTGCCAGACGCCTGGACCATTACCACATACTTCGAAGGCAGCAAGAGCGAGCTGCCAAGATAAGACCCTCTTTGAGCTGCCACATGTGCCGTGCTGGGATGCACCTCAGAGCAAAATCCCCAGATACTCCCAAAGGCTTGGTCCTTTCTCTTGCTGCCTCTCAGCTCAGTCCTTTACAGAAAGCTGTGGCTTTTCCCCGGCTCTGGCCTCACTTGTTATGGGGTAGCAGTGGGGACATCCCAGTATTTAAACCCCTAGTGACAGAAAGGAGAGGATGGGTTCTGCTACTTCTCAGTGATGAGGGAGGGTGAGCCCCTCAGCCCCACCACTCAGACCAAGCTACAGGGCCTTTTCATTTACCAGAGATAAAGGAATAGCTCTATTCTCTCCAAACAATTTTTCTTCAAGACAATAAAGAAAAAGAAAAAGAAAAAAAAAATGAACTCACAGAGATACTTCTGATGGTAGAAATTAGTCATTGCAGTTAAACTGTTTAAACTGCGCATTCATTCAAATATGTGTCATATGAGGAAGCAAAAGATCCTCTTTTGGGCCAGACTGGAAAGGTGATTTGAAGAGTGATCTCTAGGGTGACATGAAGCCAGCTGCTATTGCTCGCATAATGCCACCAGCAGTATTTCATGGTAAACAGACAAAAAAAGCCCACGAAAATCAGTCTACAGGACTTGACTCTTCTTTGTGAGATACAGCTAAGAAAAAAACAAATTCAAATGGAAAGCTCATGGATTTTTTTTTTTTTTAAACTCGGTTGGTATCTGCTTTATTTTAGGCATATGAACAGTGTGAAGGCAAAGAGGAATACCACGGAATTTGCTTCTGGAAGAAAAAAAATAACACATTGGAGGGGTAGAAGAAGTAAGGTTTTCCCCTTCCTTTGATGAATGCTTCAAAATATTTAGATTATTCTGTTCTTCAGTAAAAAGAGCAAAATCGGTGCCTAAAGTTACAGAAAGATCTGTGCTCATTAAAACCAGAAATTTTTATTTTAAAAATGTATTGTCTGACTTTTATGAATGTTTCTACTCTTCACTGAGCTTTTCAAGCTACCGTGATGTTCGAAAGCTTACCTCATTGTTTGGATGGGTTATTTGGTTATAAGAAGGTGGGGGACCAAAACCCCATGGAAAAAAATATTAGAGCAAATGCTGCAGAGAAATGGGCTGTATTTTGCTGTATTTGTGCAGGGTATATTTTAAGAGCAAGCGATAGCACTGGAGAAAAGCTTTTTCCATGTCGATTTTGGCATGGCATGCAGCAACAGCCTGGTTTCACAGGACTCATTCTGCCATATCCATGGAGCCCAGTATTGGCTTTGCTGAGTAAGTATTTTTGAAGGCCTTTGCAGTGCCTGTTAAAGCAATTCCCTGCTACGGTTCTGCAAAAATGCCATTGCTTTTCAAGCAGCAGAAATTAATTTCCACAGTAGCATTGGAAATGTTAACACACTGCTCACGCCTCTCATTTTACACCATCAGGTGCTGCACGGTGGAAGCATGATCTTAGACTGAGCACGTAAGCCATAGTGAAGCATGTGAGAGCACTTTATTTGCTTCACTTCCATGTACTAAACACACAACAGCCTGGTTCTTGGCTAAAGAATTAATTGTTTGGTAACACAGCAGGAGAGAAGAGGAGGCTGACCACTGTCAGAGCAAACTCGGGGCATGAAATTCAAGCAGATATGACTCAGATACTAGCTTTGGGCTAGTAGCCAGAAAGTTTATAGTTGCTTTCTTGGTGGAATATAGTGCTGTTTTGGGAGCAGTTTTGGTTGCCTGTTGTAATGCAGCCTATACTGATCTGCTGCAGGACACACTGCAAAGTGAAAGACATACATTGAAAGCAAGAAAAATTTAAAGAAAAAGTCAGACTGACACAGTTTGTCTTTTTTCCAGAGAAAAGCACATAAATGGGAAGGGAGGCCATTAAATAGGGTTCAGGAGGCCTGGACTGAGCTCCTGTCTCAGACTTTCTCTGTGACCTTAGGAAAGCCGCTTAACTCCCATCCGCAAAACCGAGATGATAGTTTCTGTCTCCCTGTGGTGTTATAAGGCAGAATCAACAACAAACCTTGGGTCTTTAAGTTTGGCTGTGATGGGCAGGACATGAAAGTACCTAAATGAGAAAGGAATTAATGCAATGGTTTATTAAAACACAAAACTGCAAAAATCCTTCCTTTATTTTCAGGCACCAGTCCCACGCTGGCTTTTTGCTACTTGTTGCCATTACAGATTTGCTGACTGCTGCCTGTAAATGGCCCACTGCTGCTTGTGGCAAAGGCTTTTTTGTCTCCCTGGAAAAATGTCCACGTATCAGTAGTTTAAGGATAGTGCGGAAGTCTCTTATCGCAGCTGTGACCCCACTCATGGAGGGCTGAAGTTGTGCCTGCGAAGGGGGGGAGGAAAGACATTTCCATAAATTCTCGTGTAATTTTTTATATCTTCTGTGCTTCTCAATACCCAAATCAGTAATTAAAAGTGTATGTTAATGGGCAATAAATTAAATTAAGTGAAATTTCTGCAAGTCACTTTTTTGACTGCAATACGGGCTTGCAGCTCTTGAGCTCAGCCACGTCAGCTGAACTTGGTGCGGGTGAGGGGCCAGCCCTGTGCCCTTCCTGGTGCCAGCAGTGGCAAAAGAGGTGATTTATTTTCAAGGCAGACTCCTGTTAGGAACTCCTTTCTCTCTTTTGGTGTTGAGACCAAGGCCAGATGGAGACAGATCCTCTTGTACCTCCTAAGGTTTTGGGACATTTAGAACAGGGACTGACATCACTGGAGGCCATCGCCTGTGCTGGTTCCCCTCAACCTCACCAACAGAGCTCCTGAGACAAGAGACAAGCTACTGTGCAGCTCCAAGGACCATGCACAGTAGCTAGTGATGGGGAAAAAAGGTCTAGGGCTGCATGCTGCTCCCCTTCCATCCCCTTTCACATGATATGCAAGCCCTGCAGAGAGCCAGTTCTTGTCCTGGCATCTCCTTTTGGAGATGGCAGGAGCAGCTACAGCTTTTCTGATCCTTGTTATGAAGCCAGCAGATCAACTGGTGCTTTGCCTCAGTGATAAAGTACCTGGGTATGATCCGCATTGCCACCGGCTGCCAGAAAGAGTGGATGTCCTAAGATGTCCTAACACACACAGGACAATCCTGATTCCTTTGTGGCTGAGTTTTTTTCCCTTTAGCCTTCACAAAGAATAGACACTAACATATGCTGAAGAAGCAGAGTTGCTTCTTAGCGGAAAATACAGCACAGGGGTGAGCCAGCAGCACAATAACGGGATGGGATGTGCCATCCAGGGGTGGAGCTGCCCTGCAGGCAAAGGGAAGATGCCAGGAACAACCCAGACTTTCCAGCATACTCAGGTAGCCCCAGCATGCAGGGCATCCCAGAACCGGCATTGCTGCTCTGCGACTGCTGCTCAGAGCTATCTCCCCAAGATGGGTGCCGCCCCTCCCATGCTCTTCAGAGCCTGTAGTGCAAGGCTCGTAGGGTAAATCACAGTGGTGATAATTTTCTCTCTCAGTATCAGGATGATCTGAGCTGCCAGAGAACAGATGGAGAGGCTGGAGTCCTCCTCCAAGCCTTGAAGAACCAAGGTAGAAAGAAACAGAGCAGAGATCAAATCCTTGTACTTGCAGAGACCCCAGGCATTCCCTCCTGAGAGGGTCAGCTCTCAGCCAGCTCCTCCCATGGCCAGGAGGGAGCAGGGTGGAGAAGTGAATCTGCTGGAAGTTGCCAGGCCAGGAATGCCCCAAATGCCCTTGAAATACCCCAATTCCTCTCCAGTGTACAGGGAGTAGAGCTCTCCTCGCTGGGGCAGGGCTGAGATTTGGAGCTCACCAGTCCATGGAGGGCCCTCCAAGTGCCTTTCTGCTGAATTCCAGAAAAGGAGCACCTGAGTTACTCAAGGCACATGAGGAAGAGACATCTTGGACGGGGTAACAGGACACGGAAAAGGATCAGGAAGACCATTTGCTGTGCTTCTTTTCCTCCTCAGCTACAATTTGTGAGTGCATTTGGGCTGCCTTTTTGCAGCAGCACAGCACCTGGATGTCAGCACTTCTATTGGAGTCCTCAGGGCTCCCTCAGCAATAGGACCAGAGTAAAGAGGACCTCCAGCCTGCTGGGCTGCATTAGGCAGTGTTGCCAGCAGGTGGAGGGAGGTGATCCTGCTCCTCTGCTCAGCACTACTGAGACACACCTGGAATGCTGGATCCAGTGATGGACTCCCCAGTACAAGACAGACATGAACATACTAGAGGGAGTCCAGCAAAGGGCTGATGATGATGAAGGGACTGGAGCATCACTGGTAAGAGGAAGGCTGAGAGAGCTGGGACTGTTCAACCCGGAGAAGAGAAGGCTCAGGCAGGGGGAGCTTATCAGTGTACTGATAAGTACTGATGGGGAGGAATGAAGACAAGGGAGCCATGCTCTTCTTAGTGGCGCCCAGTGACAGGACAAGAGGTGGTGAACACAAGCTGAAACACATGAAATCCCATCCAAACCCAAGAAAGTACATGTTTGTATATGTGTGTGCATGTAGTGTGTGTGTTGTGCATATGTGCTTGTATATTGTGTACGTGTGGGGGGGTGTTTGTGCTGTGTATGTGTGTTGTGTGTAGGAGCAGGTGTGTGTGTGTGTTGTGTATACGTTTTGTGTTGCGAGCGTAGTGTGTGGTTGTGTGTTGTATGCACAGTGCATGTTTTGTGTGCCTTGTTGTGTGTTTGCGCGTGTGCATGTGTTGTGTTTTTGTGCGTGTTCAGTGTGCGTGGAGGGGTGGTTCAGGGCTGTGTGTGGCCCCAGCCAGTGCTCGGCTCCATGGGGGTGCCAAGGGGGCCCAAGAGAAGCCTCAGCCCCAGAGAGGTCCCAGATGGGGTCAGAGGCATGTGGGAGAGGGGACCGTGGGGCACATGAGGGCTTACAGGGCAGGCATGGGGGAAGCTGGGGGTATCCAGGGGGTTATGAGGCACATGGGAGGTTGGGAGACCCTGCAGGAGCTATGGGGCATCCAGGAAAGCAATGTGACACCCGAAGGGTCAGGATACCAGGGGAGGGAGTTGGGTGCACACCCAGGGGGTAAGGGGGCCCTGGGGGGGCTATGGGACACCCAGGAGGTTGGGAAAACCCAGGGGTTTATGAGGCACATGGGGGGCCAGGTCCACCTTGGACAGGGCTGGGGGCACCCAAGGGGGCTCAGGGGCACCCAGAGAGGGGTAGGATCGCAGGGTCCCCCCAGAAGCTGATGCCGGAGTCCAGGCCTGTGGCACCTCCTTTATTGCAGGCCCTAACGGAGCCCCCAGTGGGAGAGGGAGAATCCACGTCCCCACCTA